CATTCCACCAAGTTTCTGGTTTGCCTATTATATCAATAGCCTCATTTAATACAAGGCACTCTAGCTTTAACCGAACCCTTAAAGAGATGCTAAGAAATTTCCACCAGAAGATCTTTGCCACTGGGACCAGCTTATCCCATACCTGTTACTAGCCATTAGAGAAGTTCCCCAGGCATCCGCTAAGTTTTCCGCATTTGAACTATTGTATGGCCGGCGACCCTGGTGGCTGTTCAGCTTCACGCAAGAGAACTGGAAATGGACGTCGTCGCCATCCCAAGGTCTCCTGCAGTATGTCCTGAAGCTCTAGGGGCAGTCAGCCCAGGTTGCGGATCTAGCGAAGGAAAACCTCCAGAAGGCCCAAGCAGCTCAGGAACACACTTACAACAAGAGGGTCTGCGGAAGAACCTTTGAGCCTGGCGAAAGGGTCCTCCTCCTATTCTACTCCAAGGAGTCGAAACTCCAAACATAGTGGCAAGGGCCCTATGAGGTTATTCACCAGGTAGGTCCAGTCACTTGTGAACTATCTCAACCCAACTGGAAGAAAAAGCAACAGATTTATCACATCAGTCTTTTAAAGGCATGGTGGGAACAAGAGGAGCTGTTAACTGCCCCTGGAACCAGACTTAGGACGTCATCTCCCCAGCCTGATTGACTCTGAAGGGCCCCAGATGGGCGATATTCTGACCGAAGAGCAGCAAAGGCAGGCTAGGTGCTTGTAGAAGGCATTCCCCAAAACCTTTATAGCCCAGCCTGAACTGACCACCCTCATTCATCATGCAATATTGATGAATCCAGAGGAAGTCGTCCAAGAAACTACTAGCCCTTGCTACGACAGACCTTCAGGATAGCCGAGAAGGAGGTCGAGGCCATGATGGAATTATGTATAATTGAAAGATCACAAAGTGAGTGGTGCAGCCCCATTGTGTTAGTCCTGAAACCAGATGGGACAGTTAAGTTTTGTATTGATTTTAGGAGAGTTAACACCATCTCTAAATTAGATTCTTACCTGATGCCATGAATCAATGAGCTTTTGGACCGACTCAGGGAGGCCTACTACATCAGCATCTTGGATCTCACTAAGAGAAATTGGCAAATCCTCCTGGACCCGAGCTCCAAGGAGAAGACTGCTTTTGCCACTCTAACCATGCTGTATCAATTTACCCAGATGCCCTTCAGACTTCATGGGCCACCAGCCACCTTCCAGCGACAGATGGGTTGCATATATGCTGCTGCCTATCTGGGTGATGTGATGATTATGTAGTAGCCACTGGGAGGACCACCTTAACCAGGTCACCGCCATCCTTAGGGCCTTACGTGTTGCTGGGCTGACCATAAATCCTCGAAAATGCAAAATAGGTAGTCTCCTGCTAGCCTATCTGGGGTACGCCCTGGGGAGAGGCCAGGTACGCCCGTTGGTGGGGAAGGTCCAACCTTTAAAAGCCTACTGACCACTGACAACAAAGAGGGTTGGTGGGCTATTACCCCTGGTTCATCCCCAATTTCGCCTCAATTATCACCCAACTAATAGAGCTCCTGAGAAAGGATTGCCCCTGACATATGCCTTGGATAGAAGAGTGTGACCAGGCCTTCAAAACCCTCAAAGAGCACCTATCCCGGGAGCCAGTGTTGTTCTGCTCCAGCCTCACACAGGAGTTTATTTTGCAGACAGATGCCTCAGAGGTAGGACTGGGAGCTGTCCTCTCACAGGAAGGGGAGGCACATCCCATCCTGTATATTAGCTGCAAGCTGTTTACCTGAGAGAGGAACTACTTGGTCATGGAGAAAGAGACCCTTGCTGTCAAGTGGGCCGTGGATGCCTTAAGATACTACCTCCTAGGAGCCTCCTGAAGTACCTGAAAATGGTCAAGGAAACAAACCCCCGACTGATGCACGGATACCTCACCTTGCAGCCCTATGCTTTCTCAGTGCACCATCGGACTGGTAGGGACCATACCAATGCTAATTTCTTCTCCTGATCTGGGGAAGGAGACTTTGCCATCTCAGGTTTCCTGGAGATGGACTTGAGGGGGGAATGTAGTGTGGTGTGTAGCTGCCTCCCTCTGAGCAGGAGAATGAGGGACCACTACACTCCCCCTGGTGGTTGAGCTAAATCCCTCACTGGAAGTCCTGAGTGGGACAGGAAGTAGAAAAGGAGAGCCCCGGCACACATTTGGGGCTGGTGCACTGGAGGGAGCAAACTAACCAATCATTCTAGGGACCTGGGCTCTCAACAGGATCCTGAACTAGGCCCCTAGTGGAGCTACGGCCGGAGGAGACAGACGAGTGCCCTGAGGAGCTGCCAGCACCACCATCAGACAAATGCACTGAGGAGCTGTGAGGACTGCCGGTGGCCGACTAGCCCAAGGAGACAGAGGCCTGTGTTCGTCTGCCGTGCACCTCAGCCAGGATGCCACACCCCTGACTGCTTCGTGTGCTGTGTCTGCTCTGCCCCTGCCTAAAGGGCCCAGAGTTGACAGAATGTTTGTGCTCTGCCCCACCCGGGGAGCCAGAGCTCCCTTAGACTGTTACTTACGGTTGGCCCCAGCCAGAAGGTTCTGGGGCATAGAGTGTGTGTGGCTCTGCCCTGCACAAGGGGCTGGAGTTTCCGCTACTAACTGTGACTTGCAGTCTGCCCGTAGTGAGGCAGAGTGGCCTCCCTCCCAACTCGAGAGTGTGGAACCACTAGACTTACGTATATTGACCATGGCTCAACGCTGCTCAGGAAGGTGATGTTACTGTGCTGGTGCTTCTGGGACAGTGGCTATGGGGGCAGGACAGGATAAGGGAATCTGGGCCCTATGGCTAGCTCCCTATTGAACAGGGGAAGCTCAGGCAGCCTACCTGGTGCTCAGTGACAAGCAGGCAAGAGACTACGACGTAGTTCAGGCAGCTGTCTTAGACTGGGTGGGCCTTTCGGCAGAAAAGTATTGGCAAAAATTTCGAACCACAGAATGTATGGGAGGATTAGGGCCCCAGGCATTTGCCCCAAAACTGACAGACTGGGCCACTCATTGGCTAAGGCCAGACACCCAACATGTGGCCAATACTATGGACACTGTCGTTCTTGAACCATTCCTTCAGAGTTTCCCAGAGAGGACCCTTGACTGCCTCCCATGCAATAATTCAAACGGGGAGAAACCTGTGGATGCCTGGGGCACCTCGCAGGTGCTGACCAGGCCAGGTGGGGTGGTCCCAGTGTCACAAGTGAGTGGTCATGAACTTCCTCCACTTTTTCATGTTTTGTTAAACTGTTCCCAGAGAGGACCCCGACATGGTTCAGGTCCATCAAACTGTCGCCCGAGATGTGGCAGTTAACTAACAGAGGAGTTTGTAGAGGCAGACAGTCCCAGAAGGGGTCGGCAGCTTAAGGGTCAGGATCCAGGCAGGAAGAGCAGAGAAGTTACAGCGGGAAAGGGCTCTGAGAAGAAGAGGGCGGAGGCCAGGGGAACACTAGGGGCATCCTGGGTGATGGTGTATAACAAGTGGGGGTGGCAGGGACATATTAAAAAAAGACTGCCCATATATGGGGTGTGCAGGGTGACCAGAGTGCAACAGGCTGGCGGTGGTAGACTGACGTCTGACGTCTTCAAGGACTTGAACTACAGCAGGTTGCACAACTCCTTCACTAACTGTGAGGTGACGTTTGTCCCTTGCGCTATCAATTCTTTGGGGGCCCCTACTCAGGCAAATACTCAGGCTTGTATGTCCCCGTGGATACACTGGAGGAAGACCATGCACCTAGATTCTCCTCCTGACCACACCAACCACTCCCTGACTAAAGTCTGGCTGCAGCCAGAGCCCCAGTCCTTGTACGTTTACTCCATTCACTAGAAGGGGACTAACATTTTCCGTGGGCCCCTTTTCTGAGCCCAGTTATCCGCTCTCCAGGCCTGCCCACAATTATAGTCCATGAATGGGCAGTCCCATCTGAAATGGCCTGGCTGCTCACATGCAACTAGCCCCCATGGGAAAAAGAGATTTCTCATTAATTCTCCTGCGTGGGATGGCCCCTTCAAATGAGGCTGCTCGGCTTGACCTAAATGGCTCCTGTCTAGCTGAGGGTGGGCTTCCAGGCTCCTCTATTGGCCTTTGTATCCCCCCTGCTAGGATTCAGTACCGAAATCCCCCTGGATAGCCTCAGTGAGGTGTGGGTCAGTGGTACCTGGGGCCCCAGGGCTGCACCAGACTGGCTTTTGGCATTTCAGCTTTGGACCCAAGGGACATCAGGTAGTTCTCCACCATGGCAACTGCCTCTGCCGAGGTCTCTGGTCGGTGTCTCATCTCCCACTCAAGCTTCCCCCTGGAGTTAAAAAGAGCAGAGCCCTGTGAGGTCTTCTGGTTGTGAGAAAAGGGGGGGCGGGGTTTGGAGAAGGCACGGCCTGGGAGTCTCACCAGCATCGTGCTTCCATCCCAGGTCCAACCTTCCAAGTGGCTTTTCAAGCGAAGGACCTGTTTTCCCTTAGCCTGTTCCCTCTCCCCCATTTCCTTGGGCTTCTGAGCATCTTCTAACCTGCCCCTCCAGCTGAAGCGTGCTCTGCAGGCCTGGGGGAGGGACTTCCTGTGCCCAGTAGTGTCCTTTAACCCATCAGGCCCAGTGTGGGGTTTGTGTACCCCCATCACAGTTAAATGCTTTAGTATCAACATAAGCCTGTGTTTATCATATCGGTCTGCCATTACATTGTTCACTCTGCTCATGTATTCTAACCCTTCCCCCACCCAATGTGTGTCTTGTCTATTTGGACTGTAAGTTCCTCAGGGCATGGACAATCTACTACTCTGTGTTTACACAATGCCTAGAACAATGGGGCCCCGTTTTTTATTGTCCCTTAGGCATTAATGTAATTAACATGATTAATAAAAATAACTGTCCTGCTGCTTGGAGCCCAGGAAGGTGGCCTGGGATGCTTAAAAATGAGCTGAGGGTAAAATCATGGAATGCTCTTTGTGACAAGTATCCCACAAATTCAACTGATCTTCCTTGTTTTTGTTCTCATACGCAGGGTTTCCAGTTTCCAAACCTGATGTGATCTCCCGGCTGGAACGAGGGGAAGAGCCATGGGTCCCAGATCTCCAGGGCTCTGAGGAAAGAGAGCTCCAGACAGGTGAGGCATTCGTTAAACCAACTCAGAAACTGTCCATGAATGAAGGAAATGTTTGGGATTCTCTACAAAGATCTTGTGAGCTCTTCAAACTCGGAATTGTTCCCAGCAGGTGTGGCATCCTCAAGGAAGATGTCACTCATGACTTACTGCCTCTCCTGACTGACACGTAGCTGTAGCTCCCTCCCCAATCTTCCTTCCCCGTGAGTGGGATGTAGACTCAGAAATGACCCTCTATTCTCTGTCCTCCAGAGTAGGGCTTTGGAAGGGGCAAGGGAGAGGTTGGAAATCAAATCTTGATTGTTTGATCTCTCCAGCACTTATTTTGGTTTGTTCCAACCTTTTCCCATTCCTCTCCCTGAGGTATCCTCTCTCCCCAGCACAGGGAGTGACCTATGTCTGGATTCTCTCTTTATCCTTCCAGGAGATGGGATGCTGAGTGAGAACCAGGAGAAGAATCCGCAGCAGGAAGATGCTGAGCAAGTTGAACCACGAGGGACATTAGCAGGAAGAACCAAAGGGAAAGTTTCTTGGAGTTGTGCAGAGGCAAAAGCCTGTGAGAGTCAGCATAGGCCAGAGAAAAGCTTCCGTAGCGACTCAGACGTTATTAGACATGAGAGAATTAACATGGGAGAGAGACCCTACACATGCCTTGAGTGTGGAAAAAGTTTTAGTCAGAGCTCAAACCTCATCACACATCAGATAATCCACACAGGAGAGCGACCCTACACGTGCTTTGAGTGTGGGAAAAGCTTCAGTCGGCGCTCAGACCTGATCAAACATCAGAGAGTCCACACGGGAGAGCGACCCTACACGTGCTCTGAGTGTGGGAAAAGCTTCAGCCAGAGCTCAAGCCTCAACAAACATCAGAGAATCCACACAGGAGAGCGTCTCTACACATGTCTTGAGTGCAGGAAAAGTTTTATAAACAGATCACACCTTCTCGCACATCAGAGAATCCACACAGGAGAGCGACCCTACATGTGCTCTGAGTGCGGGAACAGCTTCAAACTCTACTCTCACCTCATCACGCATCTGAGAGTCCACACAGGAGAGCGGCCATACACATGCCTTCAGTGCGGGAAAAGCTTCAGCCAGAGGTCACAGCTTACCACACATCAGAGAATCCATACAGGAGAGCGACCCTACACGTGCTCTGAATGTGGGAAAAGCTTCAAACACAAGTCACACATGTTGGCACATCAAAGAATCCACACTGGGGAGACACCCTACACATGCTCTGAGTGTGGGAAAAGGTTTAGTGGGAGCTCAACATTCAGCGTACATCAGAGAATCCACACAGGAGAGAGACCCTACTCGTGCTCTGAGTGTGGGAAAAGCTTTTGTTGGAGTTCAGCTTTTATCAAACATAAGAAAATCCACACAGGTGAGTAACGCCATAAATGTCTTAACTAGGGCTCACCAAAGAATTTTTGTAAAATACATTAGCTAATGCCCACAGTTTGTACCATTTTCTTCAGTGTGGTCTCTCAGCTCCACGTGAGTTGCCGACCTCTGTCTTTTCCATCTCCCCACCTCCCACTGATTTGCGGTGAATCCCATCATCCTTTATCAACTCCTTTGTCTTACAAATCCTGGGAGTGTCCTCCCCTGCCAGAAATATCGTTCAGTGCCAGGTGGGGGAGATGGGTTGACCTGGACTAGCTACACTGAGGTAAAAACTTACCCGTGCCTTGTCTCCACTGGGATTGTGCATGGATGCAGTGGCTCATCTTAGCGATCTACTTGTAACAACACAACTACATTTGCAGTGCAGACATAACCCGGGTACAGTGGCTGGGGTTAGCTTTCTCCCCTGAGCTCACCTCCATCATTTCCCCTAGTCTAGACAAACCCCGAGCATCACATTTGTTGTACCAATAAAATAAAAACCAGCAGGATCTTATTAAAGGGAAAAAGGCAAAATACCACATTTATTGTGAATACAGAAAGAATCATAGTAAGCAGTTAGTTATAGCTATAACATTCCATTCAATCTCATATTTAGTCACACATTCATTCATACAAACACACACACACCCACACACACAGGTTCTGCAAGGTTGTTATCATAGTTACCAGCCTTAGAGTTGCTCATGCCAAGCCACTGGCCAGGTGGCCTGGACATGAGGAGGGAGCAGGGCCTTGTCAGATGCTCATCTGATGCTCCTGGAAGTTGGTTTGCACAATCAGACCCCAAAGTTCTCACTTTTTAGAGTCTATTTTTATAGGAATTTCTTCCCATGCCAGTCTATGGGAATTGCTTCATCATGCTGTTGCTGAATCAATCAGCAGATAGCACATTCCTGACGGCTCCAAGATGTTATCTTGTTCTTTGGTTCTCCCATTCTTGAGGCTGTTGGGTGGATTCCAGTCTGCCCTCCGGGGGGTCCTCTGGTTATTTCCACTTGACGCCTTCTTCAGCCAATGGACACTGGATTCTTAGGCTGGCACCTCCCTGATCATTCAGTTATTATCCACACCAAGCATCCATCCACTTACATCCTCTATCTCTATTTTAATTACAATTGTTAATACAACAAAAGGGCGGGGAGTCTCTGGGTGCTGTTTCTGTTGTTAGAGTATTGCTTTGAGTCTCTCTCTCTGTGAATTGCTTTGAGAACAGACTCTGTCTTAGAATGTACTAACACAATTAGCAGCTTGCAAGTTTCACACATAGAGGGAGAGAAACAGTACCAAAAACCAAGAGACCTCTTAATTAGTAATACCCTGGAATTTAAACTCTGGGGAATCAAACTCATTTGTGATTTTAATACAGAACTTCTTTAATATGATCCAACACATTGATACTATTCCCCCATTACAAAGTGATTGTTAGTCACCGTGTTCCCCTTGGGGACAGATTATCTCAATTCCAGTTGTTCTCACCTTGCTCAGGGTTGTGCTGGACAGAAGTATTTTTTCTACCATTTTCCTCAATTAAAATAGATTGAAATAGAACAAAGAGCAGGAGTGGGGTAGGCAAAATGTGTCATTTCAGCCTCTGTGACTCCTGAAGGAGACATGGTGAGTCAAAGGGATTCCCTCCTTCACCATCACTGTCACAATCCCTCCTTGCCCCAGCAGCATTAGCTTCTGTGTAAGCCACAATAGCGTTTATCCTCCCCATGTTCTATCCCTGGACCTCCCAAAGTGTCACGTGATGCCATGTTCTGAGCGCTCTCTGTGCTTAGGTGTCACACTTCGATCCTAAATCCGACTCACTGGGGCTAAAGATGAAAGTGTCACATGCCTGGAGGGGGATTTGAATGGATCCCAAAGACACAGTAATCATTCTGTGCTTTCATCTCTGCTTCCATCTCTTGGCAAAGCTGCTTCTGGCCTTTTTCCTGCTGAGCATGGATTGTTTGCAGATGCGAAGGTTGGCTGTTTTCCCCCCTTATGATGAAACTAAATCTTTTGTAAGTAACATGACTCAATAATAATGAGGTGGCACAGAGTGAAGGAAAATTGAATGGATCAGAGGCGAACGCAATGGGAGAATCTGTTTTGATTTTGAGTTATCAGATATTATCTGCTCTGGAATTTAATATTATATGAAAGTGTCTTCTACCCCTCTGTGTTGTGTGTTTTTTTCTCTGTCCTGAAGGCGGTTTGGTTTCATAAATGGAGGTTACCTTTGTTTGACAGCATGTACCTCAGATTTATTGGGGACTTTGAGACAAATGACCGCTTTCTAAAATGATAATGTCTTATTTTATATGTGTCTTTTCCCCACCTCTGTATGGTGACATGGAGGAAGTTCAAGTGCAGTTCAATAATTGGGAAAGAAGACTGCAAACTATTGGGCATGCTCCCAAGGAAACAACCATTTTAAAATGTGTACTCTGAAACAGTGAAGAGAGGCATACCACAGATTGTGCAACGAACTGAAGTAACTGGACACGTTCACACTTGTTGTGGGTACGTTATGAATTAAAAAGAAGAGATGTCCAATAACTAGGCTTAATCAATTGATTCATCAATGATTATTAGTCAAAGATTAATACAGCTTAATACAGAAAGGAAGAGTACCTACATTACCAATCCCTGTGGAAGACAGGATTACAGTGCTCACAGTGTCTGAGAGATTCTGTGCTTATTCCTTCTGTATTTATACCTAACTGGGGGGAGTTTCACAATTTTCCCTACATCACTTTAGCTAATATTTTCTGTGACATGTTTTTCATAGATAGTAATTGCTACACCTTCCATGTAGGGGATATGTTGTAAGTTTAAACATGACATATATTTTATATTTTGACGGTTATGCAGATATTAAACAAAAGCACAAGACTAGAATTTTGTTTTGAACATTCCAGGCCTAGCATTACTTATTTTTCTGTTATGTTTGTGCCTAGCCCTGAAATTACAATACTTCACCTATCTCTTTCTGTAACGTAAATAAAAAACACAACCTCCCTAGGCAATTTATTCCAGGGCTTCACCACCCTGACAGTTAGGAAGTTTTTCCTAATGTCCAATCTAAACCTCCCTTGCTGCAATTTAAGCCCATTGCTTCTTGTCCTATCCTCAGAGATTAAGAAGAACAATTTTTCTCTCTCCTCCTTGTAACAACCTTTTACGTACTTGAAAACTGTTATCATGTTTAATCTTCCCTCATAGGTCATGTTTTCTAGACCTTTAATCATTTTTGTTGCTCTTCTCTGGATCTTCTCCAATTTGTCCACATCTTTCCTAAAATGTGGCACCCAGAACTAGACACAATACTCCAGTTGAGGCCTAATCAGTGCGGAGTAGAGTGGAAGAATTCCTTCTCGTGTCTTACTTACAGCACTCCTGCTAATACATCCCAGAATGATGTTCACTTTTTTTTTTGCAACAGAGTTACACTGTTGACTCATATTTAGCTTGTGGTCCACTATGACCCCCAGTTCCCTTTCCACAGTACTCCTTCCTAGGCAGTCATTTCTCTTTTTGTATGTGTGCAATTGATTGTTCCTTCCTAAGTGGAATACTTTGCATTTGTCCTTATTGAATTTCATCCTGTTTTCTTCAGACCATTTCTCCAGTTTGTCCAGATCATTTTGAATTGTAATCCTATCCTCCAAAGCACTTGCAACCCCTCCCAGCTTGGTATCGTCCGCAAACTTTGTAAGTGTACTCTCTATGCCATTATCTAAATCATTGATGAAGATATTGAACAGAACTGGACCCAGAACCGATTCCTGCGGGACCCCATTTGTTATGCCCTTCCAGCATGATTGTGAGTCACTGATAACTACTCTCTGGGAATGGTTTTCCAGCCAGTTATGCACCCACCTTATAGTAGCTCCATCTAGGTTGCATTTCCCTAGTTTGTTTATGAGAAGGTCATGCGAGACAGTATCAAAAGGCTTACTAAAGTCAAGATATACCACATCTACCGCTTTCCCCCTATCCACAAGGCTTGTTACCCTGTCAAAGAAAGCTATCAGTTTGGTTTGACATGATTTGTTCTTGACAAATCCATGCTGACTGTTACTTATCACCTTATTATCGTCTAGGTGTTTGCAAATTATTTGCTCCATTATCTTTTCAGGTACAGAAGTTAAACTGACTATTTGTAATTCTCCGGGTTGTCCTTATTTCTCTTTTATAGATGGGCACTATAATTGCCCTTTTCCAGTCTTCTGGAGTCTGTCCTGTCTTCCATGACTTTTTAAAGATAATCGCTAATGAGCTCATCCCTTGTAGATGCTGCAAATATGTATAAAATGAAATCAGTGTTGAATGTGAGACAGCTGCAGGATTATACCTGTTTTTAATAAACACCCCAAAATCCCTGGGTTACAGGGATTCTGATCCAGGCCTGAATTTAGTCTCTATCTTAGATCTGTGGCACCAGATTAAATAAATAAACCAGGCATGTTTGGGGAAGCTATTCCTCACTATCACTACTGACATTTGGTGTGGTTTGGTAAGGATGCTAATCCAGAGAAGTGTCAAGTTACCCCAACCAAGGCCTAGGAGTACACAAGAACTCAGGTAGAAATAGCAGATACCCAGTGGTTGATTTTCACCCCAGAAATGGAAACTATGATATCCCATGACACAGCTAAACTATTTATTTTCAGAACACTACTTCTTAGTTCAGGGGCATTCATTCTGGTGCCAAAGGATGCCATGGTTAAACTGGGAGCAATTGTCCTTTGCCTTTTGGGTTGAAAGCTTAATGAGGCAAAGAGAGAAATAATTGATGCCTTCAGCGTACATTCCTTCACCATCTGATGGCCTTTTTGGACAAGGAGCACTTCCATGCTGTGCACGTGATGACGGTCAGTGAAGGACTGAATGTGTCAGACTCCAAGTTTGAACTGCAGGATACAGGAATGTTGAGTCCCAGTTCTATGCTTTCGTCTCTTAGCTTTGCTCTTGTGTCTTATGCATTTGTATCACTTCTCCACCTCCTGCTTCCTTGACAGATTAGAAAATGTGAAAATAAAATACAGGTGGTTTTCTCATGATGCAAATCTTCTCACATAGTATGAGACCCCTTCCACCAACGCTTACAGCAGAAGACAGCGGGTATGTCTGCACTGCAGTGTAACCCCAGCTTAGTGGGACTTGAGTCAGATGACCCATGTGAAGAAACCCCGGGCTTGAGTGTCTGCGATAGATTTTAATCCTATGTTAAGACTTTTCTAACATGTGCTGGAACCTAGGGCTCTGGCGTCCACACAGCAGTGCGCAGACCCGAGTCAAAGTAACCACATCCCGAAGTCCCTTGTACCCTCATACCCCAAATGTGACTGCTCTAGCTCTTGGACCATGGTGTACTGTGTGAAAATTTATTGGCCACCTCTCTGTCATGTGGGGAAGGGCTTTGGCAGGGGAGAGGGTGGCAATCAAATCCTGTTTTGTCTCTCCTGCACTTATTTTGGTTTGTTCCCACCTTTTCCCATTCCTGTCCCCGAGGTTTCCTTTCTCCCCAGCACAGGGAGTGACCTATGTCTGGATTCTCTCTCTGTCTTTCTAGGAGATGGGATGGTGAGTGAGAACAAGGAGTATTCCCAGCAGGAAGATGCTGAGCGAGTAGAACCACGAGGGACATTAGCAGGAAGATCCAAAGGGAAAGTTTCTTGGAGTTGTGCAGAGACAAAAGCCTGTGAGAGTCAGCATAGGCCAGAGAAAAGCTTCCGTAGTGGCTCAGACCTTATTCGACATGAAAGAATGAACACGAGAGAGAGACCTTACCAATGCCTGGAGTGCGGGAAAAGCTTCAGATTGAGCACACACCTTATCGCACATCAGATAATCCACACAGGGGAACGACCCTACACGTGCTCTGAGTGCAGGAAAAGCTTCAGTCGGCGCTCGGACCTGATCAAACATCAGAGAGTCCACACAGGAGAGCGACCCTACAAGTGTTCCGAGTGTGGGAAAAGCTTCAGCCAGAGCTCGACTCTCAGCAAACATCAGAGAATCCACATGCGAGAGAGATCCTTCACATGCCCCTGAGCGCGGGGAAAAGTTTTAGACAGGACTCGGCTTTTATCAGACATAAGAGAACCCATACAGTAATGCCGTAAATGTCTTGACTAGGGCTGGACAAAGATTTTTTTGTAAAATACATTAGCTAATTCCCACATCATTTGCACCATTTTCTTCAGTGTGGTCTCTCAGCTCCACGTGAGTTGCCTGCCTCTGTCTTTCACACCTCCCCCTTCTTTGTGGTGAATCCCATGATGAAGGCTACAATTTAGTCATGGGTATTTTTACTAGAAGTCATGGACAGGTCATGGGCAATAAACAAAAATTCATGGCCTGTGACCTGCCCATGACTTATAATGTAAATACCCCTGACTAAATCTTAGGTGTTGGAGGAGGGGCTCCAGGGCGCTGCCGGTGCCGGGGGGAGGCCTCCAGGGCGCTGCCGGTGCCGGGGGGAGGCCTCCAGGGCGCTGCCGGTGCCGGGGGGAGGCCTCCAGGGCGCTGCCGGTGCCGGGGGGAGGCCTCCAGGGCGCTGCCGGTGCCGGGGGGGCCTCCAGGGCGCTGCAGGTGCCGGGGGGGGCCTCCAGGGCGCTGCAGGTGCCGGGGGGGGGCCTCCAGGGCGCTGCAGGTGCCGGGGGCCTCAGGGCGTGCAGGTGCGGGGGCCTCAGGGGTGCAGGTGCCGGGGGGGCCTCCAGGGGTGAGGTGCGGGGGGGGCCCAGGGGTGAGGTGGGGGGGGCCCAGGGCGTGCAGGTGGGGGGGCCTCCAGGGGCTGCAGGTGGGGGGGGGCCTCCGAGGCGCTGCAGGTGCGGGGGGGCCTCGAGGCGTGCAGGTGCGGGGGGGCCTCCGAGGCGCTGCAGGTGCGGGGGGCCTCCGAGGCGCTGCAGGTGCCGGGGGGGGCCTCCGAGGCGCTGCAGGTGCCGGGGGGCTCCGGGGCGCTGCAGGTGCCGGGGGGGGCTCCGGGGCGCTGCAGGTGCCGGGGGGGGGCCTCCGGGGCGCTGCAGGTGCCGGGGGGGGCTCCGGGGCGCTGCAGGCGTGGGGGGCGGCCTCCAGGGCTCTGCAGGCGTGGGGGGCACCTCTGGGGCACTACAGATGCTGGCGGGGGGCTTCAGCCTGGGGCCCCATTGCTGCTGCTGCTGTTGCTGCTTGGGGCAGAGAGTGACCTGGGCCCCACTGCGGCTGCTCTGGCAGCCCCCGGAGCCAGCTGCCTGGGGCTGACCAAGCAGCAGTCAGTGCAGCTTGGGCGGCCCCAGGGTCAGCCACACCAGCCACTGCAGAAGTCATGGGAGCTCCCGGAAAGTGACGTAATCCGTGACTTCCGTGAGCTTTGTGAAAGACACTCAGCCTTGTCTTTATCCTTTATCAACTCCTTTGTCTTATAAGTCCTGGGAGCGTGTCCTTGTCCTGCCAGAAATATCCATCAGCCCCAGGTGGGGGAGATGGCGCTGACCTTGACTAACCACACTGAGGTAGAAACTACCTTGTCTCCACTGGGATTTTGCATGGACGTAGTGGCTCATTTTAGTGAACTTGTTGTAACAACACAACTACATTTGCAATGCAGACATAATCTGGGTACAGTGGCTGGGGTTAGGTTTCTCCTTGACCTGAGCTCACCTCGATCATTCTTCCTACTCTAAACAAACCACGAGAGTCACGACGATACCATTCCCCTATTACAAAGTGATTATTAGTCATCGAGTTCCCCTTTGGGGACAAGTATTAGGGGGTAGCCGTGTTAGATAGTATCCACAAAAACAACGAGTCTCGTGGCACCTTAAAGACTAACAGATTTATTTGGGCATAAGCTTTCGGGGTGAAAAACCACTTCTTCAGATGCAACTGAAGAAGTGGATTTTTACCCACAAAAGCTTATGCCCAAATAAATCTGTTAGTCTTTAAGGTGCCACCGGACTCCTTGTTGTTCCTTTGGGGACAGATTGTCTCAATCCCAGTTGTTCTCACCTTGCTTAGGGTTGTGCTGGACAGAAGTATTTTTTCTACCATTTTCGTCAATTAAAATAGATTGAAATAGAACAAAGAGCAGAGCAGGAAAAATGTGTCATTTCAGCCGAAGGAGACAGGGTGAGTCAAAGGGATTCCCTCCTTCCCCATCATTGTCACAATCCCCTCTCGCCCCAGCAGCATTAGCTTCTGTGTGAGCCACAATAGTGTTTATCCTCCCCACGTTCTACCCCGGCACCTCCCAAAGTGTCACGTGATGCCGTGTTCTGAGCGCTCCCTGTGCTTAGGTGTCACACTTTGATCGTAAATCAGACTCACTGGGGCTAGAGATGAAAGTTTCAATCCTGGAGGGAGAATTTGAATGGATCCCAAAGACACAGTAATCATTCTGTGCTTTCATCTCTGCTTCCATCTCTTGGCAAAGCTGCTTCTGGGCTTTTTCCTGCTGAGCTGGGATTGTTTGCAGATGGGAAGGTTGGCTGCTTTTCCCCCTTGTGATGAAACTAAAACTTTTATAAGTAACATGACTCAATAATAATGAGACTAACCAATTTATCTGAGCATAAGCTTTCGTGAGCTACAGCTCACTTCATCGGATGCATCCAATGAAGTGAGCTGTAGCTCACGAAAGCTTATGCTCAAATAAATTTGTTAGTCTCTAAGGTGCCACAAGTCCTCCTTTTCTTTTTGCGAATACAGACTAACACGGCTGTTACTCTGAAATAATAATGAGATGGCACCGAGTGAAGCAAGTTTGAATGGATCAGAGGAGAACACAATGGGAGAATCTCTTTTGATTTTGTGTTATCAGCTATATCCTGCTCTGGAATTTCATTTTATATGAAGTTGAAAGTGTCTTCTACCCGTATGTGTTTTGGGTTTTTCCTCTCTTTTCTTAAGGCGGATTGGTCTCATAATTGGATATTGCTTTTGTTTGACAGAATGTACCTCAGATTTACAGCAGAAGACAGCGGGTATATCTACACTGCAATGTAATCCCAGGCTTAGTGGGACTTGAGTCTGACCTTTGTGAAGAAATCCTGAGCTTGAGTGTGTTAGACTTTTCTAACGTGTGCTGGAACCTAGGGTTGTGGCGGTCACACGGCAGTGCGCACACCCAAGTCAAAGTAGCCACATCCCATACTCCCTTGTGTCTCCCCCACCCCCCAAAAGTAGCTGCTCTAGTTCTAGGACTGTGGTGCACTTTGGGAAAATTTACCACCCACCCTGCATGTTACCAGGAAGGCTCTTGCTTTGCCAAAGACTTGATGGGTTCGCTCTCCTTTGCACACCCAGGAGACTCTCTGATAGCGTGCTTCCAGATGAGTAGTCAGAAGAGAATGGGTTAATGCTGACCTGAGCTGCTGCCATTTTCAAAGCGGAAAAGGCTTCTGTTTTCAGTGTGGATTGGAGGTTGTTGGGGTAGAGAGGATTAAGGAATTTGTCTTATGGAATTGTGGGATACTTCCAGCTGACTCCTGGGACCCCAGTCAAGCGGGGCTGCATCTACACTGCAAAGCAATGGGGCTCAGCCTTGGGTCTCAGCTTAACTTGAGTTTGGGCCCTCCAACCCTGCAGGGTCCTGGGACCCTGGGTCCAAGCCCTGGGTTAGTGCAATTGCAGGGTAGATGCAAAGGGCTTAGGCTTGAGCCTGGGCTCAATCACGGGCTTATGCTGCAGTGTAGACATACCCCAGAGACAAATGAACTCTCAGAAATGGAAGGCACCTATGTTAGTGGAGAACAGAGCATTACACAGGGCTCATTGGTGGAAATGAGGATTGAGAGAAAACTAACCCATATGTTAAGTTTTTGTAATGTTTGAATATGTTGTTGTTACCAGTGATAATGGAATTAAACATGAAGTTCATCATTACAGAATAAGAGACTGATTATGTGATAACAGGAATTATATTGTAAGACTGCAAATATTGTTTTTTATTTCTTTTCTTTCTTTTTTGTGTTGTTTTTGTTGCATCAGTATTTTAGAAGATGGTGGCTAATTCTGAAAAGTTATTTGACGTAATTCAGCCTCTTTGGATTAAGCAGTGCTGTAGTAAAACCTCACTCCAAATGCGTTGAGAGAAGTAGCATATAGGAGAATAGACACCCAAGATAGACTCTAATTGTTTCCATTTCAAATGCAATTTATGTTGATCACCTTTAAAATAAACTTTCTGTGAAGAGGAAAGTTCCTGAGGGAGACAAGTTGTGTAACTGTCTCCCCGTCAGACTGTAACAGTCACTGCAATGTGAGCCGGGGTGTGCGGGACTCGAGTTGCAGGCTCAGTGTGTCTAAGCCTGTGCTGGAGAGTCCACACTGAACGGTGACCCTGGGTTGAGAATGTTAAGACCCGAGTCTCACCCCAGCGCTCACCGGGGTGAGACTGTGCAAGGCGCAGACCAGGTCACATCAGCCTCTCCCAGGCTTCCTAGCGCTCTCCCAGCTGTAGCCTCTTCAGCCCTTTGTTCCTTGTGCCCCACGGAAACACTTGTGTGTCCCTCCCACAGCGCTTTATCAGAAGTTGTCTCCCCCGCCAATACAGCCAGCCAAGCTGTGTTTTGGGTCTGCAAGCTGCCGGCCACTGGAGCCAGCAACCTGGGTGAGGCCCCATTTGAAGAATTTCCCCTGCTTGTATTTTCACTCCTGTTTCATACATTGGGCAGAACATCTGTGAGATGCTGTGGACATTTTGGTGGCATTTTCTGACTGTGATAGAGCCTTCGGTGGCTGGGCGGCCTAGTGGCTGGGTCATTGGTGGGGGGAGGGTTGTAAGGGGACCTGGGCCCTCCCTGTCCACAAGATCCCAGCCCAGGGCCCTGTGTAGTTCAACCCTAAACAGGGGAGATGTTTCTCCCGCCCGGCCGGGGGAGAGGGTGGGTTCAAGACCCATTTCCTGGGGCTACTTCCTACGAAAGCCTGCTTAGTTTGGGCCGTGTCCCTGCTGGCCCAGTCACCCTGCAGTTGGCGCGTACCCGCAGGCTGCACTGGGCAGCGAAAGGCGTACTTGTCTCCAGTGGCTGCGTTGGGTGGCAGGTCACTGGTCCATCCCTTTGGGTAGGACAGAGAGCTCCTGCCTCCTTGCCAGTCAGCCCCCAACTGAGCCAGGCTCCCTTCTTTTCTCCCCCTTCCAGGCCTGGCATTGGCTGTGGGGATAGCTCGGCAGGCTAGCTGAACCCATGGGTTTTATTTAACCCC